TTCTTACTTCTCCTGGGAATCGAATCCAAGTCGTCCAGCCGGTAGCCACTCAATATGAGAGACTTCCTTTCGTCTCGATTTCAAATATGATTTGATCCTCGCCAACTCAGTTTTGCAAACCGGACATGTGGGCTTCGGCAGCAGGAACACTGAGCGAATCAGAGATTACAGCCTCGTGGGATGTGACGCTGTGTAGTTTGTTAGATAGGCATCAGCGTCTCGGAGGAAGGCGCTGCCTCCATTTTCAGATCAGAAAGATTAGTTTTAGTACACATCCACAAAACTGTACATAACAACCCAGAAGACAACAATCTTCTCAGTCGCCGCCGTGGCAGACACAGTTCGCATTTAACCAAATCAAATCCGCTCATGTCAATTCGAATGTAACTCCATGAAGTTACACCCAGTTGTTTTGCTCAGAATTCGTACATGTTTCCTGTCACACTGAATTAATTGATTAGAGTAAAGCTGAGGGGGTCTCACATTGCAGCATCTCGTTGTGTCCGGCTTGATTCGTCTCGCAGCCTAACTCCCGCCCATGGCCAGGTATTGCTATACTGCACGGTGACATAGCTCCCTTTCTTAATGATCGCTGTAATCCTTTGGTCTGCTTCATATTTCAGGGACATGATACGACATCTGTAGCTATTTCATGGGCCCTGCACTTGCTTGGATCTCATCCAGAAATTCAGGTAATTTTTTGCTTGGAATTATAAAACCCAATTCCTCTCTAAGAGGTTCTCTGGATTTTTTTTAAAGTATTTATTTGTTCGCCCTTTTTCGTTTGCGTCCAACATTTCATTTATGTCGCCATTTCCATGAAGCCACCGAATGTCGCTCTTGTGTCGCTATGATCCAGCTACTAACGAACGAGGATGAGTCAGTATCAGTTACGGTTTATACTGTTACATCATTACAAATGATAAAACAATTTCGTCTAGTGTGACTGTTGAAGCTTTAACTGCTTCACCTCTTAGCATCCTAACATGTTTCGGTCCCTATAGACCATCATCAGAGGGAACATCAATATTTTAGGAACTACTATTACATTGGGTGTTTTGATTTTTAAAATACATAAATATACAATATTTGTAATATATATTTTATACAAAATCAAAATTTCTTACAACTACACCAACGATCCTTGATGCATTAAAATTTTTTAAACTTTTTGTTGTTTAAGTTAAAATTCTTTAACCGAATTGGTTCGTGTCCCTTGTCCTTTCGTCATTCTTGACGGAGCTGAATTTGTGCCGTCTGTCTTTCTTGGGAAGGTAGTTCTTTTTGTCGTCCTATGTTTGCTTGTAGCGTGCTGTGAGTAAAAACAACACATATCTTTGTGTCGATTTCAACCACTTTGACAGTTTCTGACAACAAAAGCGAAATACGCTCCTTTGTTCTTCTTTGATGCAAACTGAAAGCAATGCAACAGTTTCCTCTGCTTCAATACAGCTTAGTGTTTTCAAGCTCGTAGTGGACAGTAAAGCGTGCAAGAGACCCTAGAAGAGAAACTCGGTGCAATTGAAGGTGAAAGCGGAAATGCTGAAGCGCAGTGGAACAATATAAAAGAATGCATGTTAGATACTATCAGTGATTTGGTTGGTAAAGTTGAGAAGATAGCAAGAAAACCATGGGTTACACAGGAGATGATGAGTAAAATGGAGGAGCGAAGGAAATGGAAGAATGTCAACAATGAAGAAGGCAGGAGGAAATACAGGAGACTGAGGAATGAATTGAAAAGAGCCACGGACAGGGCCAAAAAGGAATATCTTGAGAAGATATGTAATGAGATTATGGAATTTCAAAGAACAGGCCGTTATGATTTGATGTACATGAAGACAAAAGAACTAGGATGGAAAGAGAATCATGGGATTCAAAATGTTGGCATCGAAGACTCCCAGGGGAATAGAATAGTAGATCAGAGGCAAGTGCTGAAAATTTGGGAAAATTATATTTCAGAACTATATGATCGACCTAATCGGCCAGAAACCTTAGAAGTTGAACCGGAAGAAGAAGTAGATACAGACGAGAAAGGACCATATATTTTACAAAGTGAGGTGGAAAAAGCTATCAAGGAAATGAGGAAGGGAAAGGCTACAGGAGATGATGATGTACCTGGAGATGTGCTCAAGTTACTGGGAGAAGGTGGTTTGAAAACACTGACAAAACTAATGAACACCATATATGAAAGTGGAGAGTGGCCCAAGGACTTTACAGAAGTTACAATGATTGCCTTAAAGAAAAAGACAAAAGCTACAAAATGCAGCGACCATCGCACAATAAGTCTTATTGCACATACAGCAAAGATAATAGCAAAGATACTTAAAAGAAGAATTGAAAGGAAAATAGAGGATGTACTTGGAGAAGATCAGTTTGGATTTAGAAGAGGAAAAGGAACCAGGGATGCAATTGGGATGATGAGAATTATAGCGGAACGAACTTTGGAGATAGATGAAGAACTGTGTGTTTGCTTCATAGACTGGCAGAAGGCATTTGACCGGGTAAACTGGACCAAATTAATGCAGATCCTGAAAGAAACAGGTATCGATTGGCATGAAAGAAGATTGATTAGCAAATTGTACATGGATCAGAAAGTTAGAGTACGACTGGACAGGGGGGAGACAGGAAGTGTGCAGATTGGAAGAGGAGTTCGACAAGGATGCTGTTTATCACCAATTCTGTTCAACTTGTACAGCGAATGCCTTACCAAGGAAGCTCTGGATGGGCTCGGTGACTTCAAAGTAGGAGGGCAAATTATTCAAACTGTGAAATATGCAGATGACCTTGTGTTAATGGCTAAGGAAGAAACTGTGCTACAGGGCATGATTGATAGACTAATTGAAATTGGAAGGTGCTATGGCATGGAAATGAATGTGGAGAAAACAAAAGTAATGAAAATTTCGAGACAACCAACCCCAGTCACAATAAAGATAGACCAAAAACAACTGGAGAATGTGAAATGTTTTAAATATTTGGGTAGCTTGTTAACAGATGATGGAAGGTGTACTAGTGAAATTAAATCCAGGATTGCCATGGCAAAAGCTGCATTTAGCAAGAAGAAGAATCTTTTTACCAGCAAATTGGACTTAAATTTGAGGAAGAAACTAGTGAAATGCTACATTTGGAGCATAGCTCTGTATGGGGCTGAAACATGGACACTTAGGGCAGTAGATCAGAAACATCTGGAAAGTTTCGAAATGTGGTGTTGGAGAAGGATGGAGAAGATCAGTTGGACCGATTATGTGAGAAATGAAGAAGTGTTAATTAGAGTCATTGAGCAGTGGAATATCCTACACGAAATAAGAAAACGGAAGGCTAATTGGATTGGTCATGTTTTATGCAGAAACTGCCTTCTAAAAGAAGTTATTGAAGGAAAGATAGAGGGGGAATAGAAGTGACATGAAGACGAGGAAGAAGACGTAAGAAGATGCTGGATGGCCTTGGGGACAGAAGAGGGTACTGTCATTTGAAGGAGAAAGCGCTAGATCGCATTAAGCGGAGGAATTGTTTTGGAAGCGACTGTGGACCTGTCGTCTGGCAGATTATTGATGATGATGATGATGATGATAATGACTTTGGAAATGGGTACTCAAAGCAAGGGAACATGGTAATCTGTTCAGAGTCATGGCGTATACTTTCATACTTTCTCAGTGGACAGTGTATCGACACGTCCTTTCAGAGGGTCCGGTTTTGCCATTTGTCATCATGTTATGTTGTGCCTTCTGCAGACGGAAGCGAAATAGCCGAAAATTTGTAATCACCCTCCTAGTACAATATTTTTTAAGCTTAATGACAAGTGGTCCAATAATTATACTAAATTTTTGGTTTGGGTCCTCTGCGGTTGGTAACCATTTCAATGTCCTTATATAATTATTCTGTCATATACAGGACAAAGTAGTAAAAGAATTACAGGATATTTTCGGAGATTCTGGTCGGGAAGCAACTTACGAGGATCTGCAACAGATGAAGTACCTGGAGCAGGTGATCAAAGAGGCTCTCAGGCTGTATCCGAGTGTGCCAGCATTTTCCAGATATCTGGAAGTTGACGTCAAGATAAGTATGTTTGCATATTGCAGTGTATTTCGACTGAATTCTATATTGAGGATCTCTATTAGAAGTTACCAAGGATATTAATTTTTGTCCATAGCTGCTTCAATTGTTTGTCTCATAGCTCTCACACTTTCTGTATATGGGCAAAATTTAGTGTGTGATATAAAATATAAAATTTCTTCAAGATTCTCAATTCACCTTTGAAATATATTATCTCTATGATTTATGAACAAAAAAAACTCCGTGGTCTGTAATCCGAAAGCGAACTATTCCGACTGAGCAACTGCCGCTTGTCGACGAAGTTACTGCCAAATTTTGCGGATAGAGGGTGTCACGTGTTCAGCGCAACGGATCCCACGGCCGTTAATTTCGGTTTTCTAGACCAGAGCCGAAATATCCTTGAAATAGCTCTTCAATTATCCTCACGAAGGTGAGTGGACCCCATTCCAGACCCACTACTTCTCAGAAAATCTGGTAGCGCCGGGAATCGAAACTGGGACCCCTGGATCTGCAGTCAGGAACTATGACAACTAGATCACAGAGGCGGTCCCTATTATTTATAAACGTAGTCAAAATCTTCATGAAGTTTTGGGGATTAGGATTTTAAGAACTTTTCTAACGAACCCACAAGATGGTCTTAGTTTTTCAGTTTTCTTTTTGGTTGTACTAAGAACTCGCCTTCCCTCCATCATTAGCGGTAGGCGGTTTCTTTCCTTTAATTGCAAATTATTGTATGATCATATTTAACCAAGTACAAAGAAAATCTATATATGTGAGTAATTGGAATTCGCAGGAGAGCTTTCGTCTTCCATGGAAACCAAAATTAAAATCGATGCAAAATTCTTGCTCATAAAGTACAAAGGACTTAGTCCCACCCCACTAGCAATGAAAAATATCTTTGCTGTGTTACCTTGGAAACGAAATGGTTTGTTGGTAGACAGCTCTTCTTGCTGAATACCGGTAGCTAGTGATGTTTGTCTGACAGGAACACTAATTTCGACGAAATCGACATTACATCTTTTGGCCCTAGTGGGTTACCCGTTATTTTCCTGATTATACGTGTACAGTCCCGTTTAGGAGACAGTCTGCGTAAACTTCTTAAATTTAATCAAAATCGTTAGATCCAATTTCGAGAAAATAACCATTTTGTGTTTTGGCGCCCATTTGAAAGGTTCATATCTTTGGAACCTGGATGTTCACCTTCACCGGACCCCGACCTATGGCGGATAAACTCCTGATTGTCGAACAGGAATAAAATCCTTTTAACCGTTCCGGCGCTAGCGTGTCATGCGTACATCCATCCACACATACAAATACAGATATATGACCAGGCAGACGTCATACGTAGAACTACCTTCGTATTCCGGGGACCAGAACATGTAAATCACCCCAAATTGCGAGATCTTATATTTCACCATTACTGTACCTTCTCAAATGCAATATACACGAATAAGAGGAAGCAAAAGTTAATTATAGAGAGAACCACGAGATAGCAGAAATAAACGGTAATATTTCGGTCGGTATTACAGAATCTATTTTACCGACAGACGATTATTATTATTATTGTTGTTATTGTTATTATTATTATTATTATTATTATTGCCTGCAATTTGTCTCATATTTTATATTGTGTCAGTCCATAATGTGATTTACCAGTATCTACCCTGTGCTGTGTCTGTAATTGGCCTTGTAGCTGTTGACTCGGCACATAAATAATAAACAATTTAATTGAGTTATTATTATCGTTATCATTGATTGGCGATTGGCTGTTTAGCTGAGAACGTAAATAATTATAGAATTGAATTTAAAATTATTATTATTGTTATTTTATTGTTCTCTCTTTCCAAATCTTTTCCAGTTTGTATTGTGAAAATTCACTGAAAGAGCCGCTTAAAAGTGCCTTTCAATGCCTATAAATTCCAAACACCCAGTAATTCTGAATACACATAACGTTTAAGAGTTGCTCTGAAGGAGGCACATCTGTGGAGTGTGTAGCTTGACATGGGAACTCTTATATTCTACTGAATTTTCGAATGGAATTTTATTAGTAATATATGAAATTGCAGTGCGAAACCTGTAGCCTGATCCGCTTTGCAACACGATTTTATATCTGTAATAAACGGACATGAAGTTGAGCGCGGTGTGAAGGTCTGAATACGAGTATTATGTTTGCTTCAAGCTGAAGCAGGCCGACGCCCTTTCATTCTGGTTAAGGAACAAAGCACTGAAACGTTTGTTTTTATCGCAGAGAACTATACTCTTCCCGCCGGAACACAAACACCAATCTTACCGTTTCTTATTCACCGTAATCCGAAAGTGTTCCCCAACCCTGAAGAGTTCAACCCAGACAATTTTCTGCCCGAGAAAGTGCTGAACAGACACCCGTTTGCCTATCTACCGTTCAGTGCAGGTCCCAGAAACTGCATAGGTAAGAGTTTCTGAATATCTGCTTCTTATGCATGACTCGATGAGATGTAAAATTTGTTTTGTTTTTATCACTTAATTAAATAAAGTTGAAACATAAATTTGATTTGTTTGCATGAGAGCCGCTCCTTTCATTCCGTGTACGTTGTGGTCTTCTATTGCCCAGAACGCGAGCATTGCATTTGCAAGTTCCAAACAGATACTATACATTATTCAGAAATTATATGTACATCCTCAATAATGCAACAATGATATTTAAAATAAATAAATAAAATAAAAGACATATAAAAGAACATATGATATAAATTAAAGACATTCTAAAGTATTTAAAAGTCACTTTTAGTGTAAAAGATATACATGTAGTGTCTTAATGATATTTTATAATATTTTAAAGCACAAAAACTACACTTTAAGTGAAGAACATGTTTTAGGTGTCTTCTATTTTATTTATTTATTTTAAATATCATTGTTACATTATTAATGGTGTACATTTTTTTTAATAATACCTCAATGCAACAGGATGCTGAAATATAATATAGATACTATAATCAGGCATGTCCAACGCGTCGATTGCGATCGACCGGTCGATCGCGGGACGATTTTTGGTCGATCTCATAGGCCTATAAGGAAAGTATACGTGAAAAGCATGTAAATTCACTTGTAATATAATATGATTATATTTAGATTTTGAAGGGAAAATACGTATTAAAGTAGTCTGTACTTTCAATGTATGTTGCTTTTACAACAAACATCATGCCTCGTGTTATTTTTACCAGTATTTTTGCTTAAAGCGAGATACGACGATACGAGGGGGTTGTAGATCGCTGGCAGTTTTGACACTAAAAAGTCGATCATAACCTGTATGAAGTTGGAGATGCCTCTTATACATATATTGGATGAACTAAAATCTAACCTATTTTCTGAAATTCATGGTTTGAATTGTAAACACAATAGCAGCTTAACATTTAATCAGCAAGATCTCCAGTTAAACGTACTTCCTCCGTCAATTCGGTCCGACACATACGTATACGTTTGTTTCAAGGCTGAGCTGCCTTATAGAACCGCTTCACTCGCATAACAATGGTTCCACGATGGTTCTCATTTTTAATTGGGAGACAGAAATGTATTAACTGATATAATTAAATTCATTGATCTGTATGTTTAAGAAGCTGTTAAGTGTAATATAATACTTTGCAATATTTGTTAACAGGTCAGAAATTTGCTATGCTTGAAGAAAAAGTTGTGTTGAGTTCTGTACTGAGAAAACTGAGGCTTCAGTCACTCGACACAAGAGAAGATATACCATTGCTTTTAGAACTGATACTCAGGCCGAAAGATGGACTCCGAATCAAGATATCTTCACGATAAGAAACAATACATATTCTTTGTAATACATACCAGGTCGGGTGAGGAACACAGTCCTGTCTTGAAGAATGTTAATGCCAACTTTAAGCGCATAATTCTCCGACATGGCATAAAGTAAGGAGTAAGTTCTGATATAAACGAGTCTTACGTTTTGTGCGGATTGCAAACAGAAATGCCGAGAGGATATAGAGGATAGGTTGTGGTAGCAATGCAGTGTTATATTCTACTGTTAGGGAATATAAACATTTTCCTCTTCACCACCTTCTTTTCATTTGCTGTATCCGACCCCAGACTTTGTCCTTAACTTCAGTCACTTCATGAAGCAAAATGGACAGGATACGTGTAAAATTGTCGCCCTTAAATCAGAGGCTCCCTTCCTTAGCGGGACAGTGCTTTTAGCACATAACTCTTGTTTACTGTCAGACGGCTCAAAGAAGAGTGAAAGTAATTGTCACGAACACTTTCGGAAAAGGAAGAAGGAGACTAGTTTTTGAAATGTGTACGACAAATATTTTCAGTTTTTATTATGATCATATATTATCAAAAAAACAAAATAATCTCTATTATGTTGTTGGGTATTTAAATTTGAACCCGTTTCGAATATTATTATAAGCTTTTATTTTAAGAATTATAGCCAGTTTTGTATGCTTGACACAAATACATGCCTACCTACACATAGTTTTCTAGTGCTCTTTACAAACAAATTTAATATTTTGTTTACTGAAAAGAATATGAATAATCCTTCCTGTTGTGTATTTATTTTGGTGCAATAACACTGTCAGCATTGGCAAGCACAGGTATACACCAATTTAGATGTATACTCCTCATTTAGTGTCATACTAGTATTTATATGTTCAAATGTCCTTTCTCTGTTAGTCGAAATAGCTTGTCAGTGTAGCTACTAAAGTTATAAGCTGATCGAGTATCTTTGCCGGCAGAGGGAAGAGTTTCTTCACGGCGTCCAAATCGGCTCTGAGGCCCAGTTAGTATCATATTCAATACAAACTGGGGCTTCTGCCTCGGAAGTGATGGGACCCAACCGTGAAACTGATCACTCAGACCCATCTGTACTGCCGACGTTCAATAGACGTACCATTCTGCACTCCGATTCATGTTCAAGATGTAATGCTCAGTTACACACAGAGAGAACTCGAACTGTACCTTCTATTTCATTTGAATTTTATAAATTCAGATCATAGTCGGGTTTAACATTAGAATTATACGCGTGGAAACACAGTCTCTGTTGTTATGAATTTGAATGTGCGAGAGGGGAAAAACATTTTGGATTTACACGTTTTAGCATCGCACGTAAATCGGAATGTGCCAGTATCTCTTCTAAATCATTCAGCTCAGTGGTTACCTGCATTCCCAATTCCATAAACGTATAATATAGGCAAAAATTCAAATTAAATAATGATTGAGAATGTCCCATGTTTTTTACATTAACATGTGTTATATTGTGGTAGAAAAGGATCTTAGACAGATAGGATGGGATGGTATGGACTGGATTGATCTGGCTTAGGATAGGGACTAATAAAGGGTTCTTTTGAACACGGTGATGAACCTTCGGGTGTCATAAAATATTGGGAAATTCTTGAGTCGCTAAACGACTGGCGGCTTCTCAAGAAGGACTTAACTCCATGGAGTTAGTTAGATTGTGGTATTCGGGGTTATAATTTTTGTAGTCTCATCTATGATAATCAGTCCCATGTCCTATTATACAGGATACAACTTCTGAAATTAACTCAAAAGCAGAAGGACTATAGGAAATGATCATAACTACCTACGAGTACTTAACTACACGGCATCTTAACACAGAAGTCCACAGTCAAAATCGTCACAGCCATACGTACTTACTTACTTACTTACTTAATTATGGAGCTGAGAACTTCTTGAGAAGCTGCCAATTGTGAAGCTACTCAAGAATTTCCCAGCATTTTATGGAACTCTAAGTTTCATTACCTTGTTCACAAGAACCCTCCACTGGTCCATATCCTGAGTCAGATCAATCCAATCCATACCATCCCATCTTATCTCTCTAACATCCATTTTAATATTGTCCACTCATCTACGCCTTGGTCTTCCCAGTGGTCTCTTTCCTTCTGGTTTTCCCACCAATATCCTCTATGCATTCCTCTTCTCCCATATTCTTGTTACATGCCCTGCCTACCTCATCCTCCTTGACTTGATCATTCTAGTTATACTTGGAGAAGAGTACAAGTTATGAAGCTCCACATTATGCAGTTTTCTCGTCACAGCCATGTACACCTTAAATACCATTCTTCAGCAAGTGTTTATATAGATAGATTTCTACCGAACATTCCATTTTGGAAATATTCTAAAAACCTTTCATTTTAAATTCAATTCAAGTTCTATTCAGTGCTTGCACGCAGTTCCTTTGTCATCTGAACACGATTCCTTGTCGCAGGAGCTCGGAACAACGCCTTATTAAGAAATATTCAGAGGCATCTCATGACCACAAATGTGGAGGCTGGACGTGCCATCTGCCATGTTCTGGCATGAGTACAAGTGGTATATTTGCTCATCAAGGTCAACCGTAACGTCGATAGTAATCATAAATATCTGGTACTATGCCAAGTGTACTCAGCTGGTACCATGCAATAATGACACATGTCAATATGCAAGATTTCTGCTCAAAGACTGCCGTATCAGAGACCGTATGTCGACATCTATACATATAGCAAATCCTAAAAGTTTCAAAAACCTTTAACTTGGACTGCGTTATTTTTGTGTGTGTTTTATTTATGTAGAATGGAAAAATTTGAATATAGAATTAAAAATAAATAAACTCCTTGGCCTGTAGTCCGCAAGCGAACTATACCGACCGAGCGACCGCTCCTTCTCGGCCAACTTCAGCCGATCGGAGGTGTCACGTGGTCAGCGGAACGAATCCCCACGGTCGTTAATCTCGGTTTTCTAGACCGGAGCCGCTACTTTTCCATTCAAGTAGCTCCTCAATTATCCTCACGAGGCCGAGTGGACCCCGTTCCAGACCCACTACTTCTCAGAAAATGTGACAGAGCCGGGAATCGGACCTGGGACCTTTGGATCTATAACCAGGAGCTCTGACCACTAGACCACAGACGCGGTCGAATTAAATGATTAAAAATTCCCACTATCTGTAGGCTTAGGTAAGCATCGAAATTCACTTATAATATCTAATTTATACCGAAGAGATCGTAGTTTTATGTTATTGAAAAGAATATTTCCAACATAAATAAGCAAAGACTTGAATCACAGAAGAGCACTATATTCTGTGAAATAACTCTTTGCAGTCCAGTAGAAGTCCACCGATATTTCGGAGGAAAGTTTTGTCTTCCTTTCAGGGTCAAGGAGGAAGAAGCAGCGTAATATCTTACTCGGCTTACAATTCGAACTTGAAGATGGAGACGGTATGTTCCTCAGAATCATCGGTGGACAATCCAGAGGTATTATTCTTGATATCCACCTGCGTGAGAAATTCAAATTCGACATCTATGAATTCCAAATTCGTTCTGAATACAAAATATATTCATAGAATGTTCATTTTATTTTCGTCATTCAGTATTTGTATCCTAATACAATCTAAGTCAATATATGTATGTATTGCTGGGTTGCGATAAACAAGTTTCGGCCTTTTTATAAACTACATGATAATACTTGCCTACAATTATGTTCTACAAATTCAAAATTTCACTGATTCAGACTATTTCCTTTCCATATAAATCCGAATCAGTGGAGTTTAGCTGCAGTTATAATTTTATGACCGAAATTTCAGAATTTCCGGAAATACGTATCTAATTTCAGAAGTCATAGATCCGGTTCTATTCAGCTTGAGGTTAACGGTTCACATTTAGCAGGGCTCAGTGCAGTTTCTGATGCTCTCGCTAAGCATCTGCAGTCTGTTTATAATAACCACTGCCCTCTTTCGCAGTCATCCGAATTCGTATCCCTTGCCCCTATTTCCGATGCGCATATTTGCAAAGCCATTAAGAGGTTAAACCTTCGGAACCTGTTGAACTTGACAACTCTGTCTGTGTAAGAGTTGAGGCTTTCACGGCGGTGACTATGAAGAAAGTAGTCTTCTGGGATTAGTCACCGTGTATATGTGGTATTAACCGACGTTTCGGAGGAACATATCGCCTCCATCTTCAGGGTAGAAGAACAAATATAAAAAATCTGCAAGCGAAGAGACCGTGAGAACCGGTAAAAGGCGATATGTTCCTCCGAAACGTCGGTTAACACCACATATACACGGTGCCAAATCCCAGAAGACTGCTTTCTTCAACTCTGTCTGTCATAGAAGAATGTTCAGTAATTTTATTCCTGTTCTTAGATACGAGTATCTAATAAACTTGAGCCTGACTCAGTACTTCCCTGCTGTATGAATGGAAGCGGCTCTTTTACCCGTATTTAAAAGAGGCAATCTTGCCGCTGTGAACAACTACAAAACCATCTCTATCTCAGAGATTTCTCTAAATTTTTTAATTCATTATTCACAATGATGTTTTGCATTAAATTAAACTTAATCCCAACCAACATGACGTCACGAAATCTAAATCTAAATCTAATTTGGTACTGTTTCTTGACTTTAAGACTCCTGTTGTCCACGGTCAGCGTCAGGCCAATGCTGTCTATTTCGAGCTTTCAAATATTTTTGACCTCGTCCAGCTGAACCTGCTCTTGCGTAAATTTAGTTAATTTGGATTCACTGACGGTTACTTTAGCTGGTTTTGCAGTTTCTTTACCGACAGACAATTTCGGGTTAGCGTTGCTGGTGCTCTCTCTCTCTCTGTCTTTTCAAGTAAAATTGTTTTTTTTAATTCGCTTAGTGGGGGGGTGAAGTCCAACTGGGTCCACTCGGCACGAAGACCACTGATTGGCCTATTGTAGCCTGCCCCGGGTGATTATGATGATGGAGAATTTGGTGGAATGAAGATTGGCAGGGAAAACCGAAGTACTCTGAAAATACCACCCCAGCGCCACTTTCTTCACCACAAATCCCACTTGACCAGACCCCAGGATCGAACCCGGGCCGCCGCGGTGGGAAGCCAGCGACTAACCGCTTGAGCTATGGCGCGGCCATCTTTTCAAGTAACTTCGGGCTCTGTTCTTGGGCCTTCTCTTTTCAACGTATTCATTAATAACTTATGCAACTCCATATCATCATTACTCAGATGTCATAAATTGCCTTGTCTTGTAGTATGTCTGTATATTTCTGTTGGTTTCCCTCACTAGTGCTCTCTTTGTAATTGACCCTTGAGCCGTTGAGTCAGCAAGCAAATAAACAAGAATCAACTGAAATGAATTCAATTATATTACAGTAAATATGTTCAATAGAAAAGACTAGCGAGGAGTGCAGGATGGAATTTATATGACCATATGGAACATTTAAAGCAGTGGATTTGCTGTAACCCTTTAGGTGTGAAACATAAGTATTCGTGACAACGGCATACTACACAGGTACCCGTTTACTGTGTGTTACTGGTCGTCTTAATTGTTATTTTAGACTGAATTTCAGATTTGGGGCCCCGTGTCCGTCCTCAGATACAAAAATTATGTCTGCCCCAACTGAGAAGATTTGTCCATACATCCGGGTACCAGATGTAAAAGAGCACGTGGTATAAAAATCAAGCAACACTGAAACCGTCTGCCGTAGTTCAGGTACATAGAAGTAGTGAACCAAATACATGAAATCATGCACCTGTGGCAGCGTATAATTTTTGCAGCTAGAGCCCAATTTAAAATAAAGCTGAAACGAGTTACTGATTTTAAAAAAGGATAACTGCAGATATGCGTTAATCAATTCCCTTCTATTTTTTACTGATGAATCGACGTACAAGAGCTCTGAAAAGACATCAACAGAATAAAATTAACTCAATAAAGGACGCAGACTAATACTGAAGTAGGTAAAATGTCTTTTGTACTAAGTAGAATCTTACAACAAATATTATTTTTTTTTTCTATTGCTAGTCGGGTGGGACTTAGTGCCTTGTACTGCGGCCACCTCTGGCCTATTGTACCAGCCCCAGATGATAGGTGAGGGTGATTGTGGAGCAATTGGTGGAATGAAGATTGGCAGGGGAAACCGAAGTACTCGGAGAAAACCTGTCCCAGCGCCACTTTGTCCACCACAAATCCCACTTGACCAGACCCAGGATCGAATCCGGGCCGCCGCGGTGGGAAGCCAGCGACTAACCTCTTGAGCTATGGCGCGGCCTTACAACAGATAAGTCAGTACCCAAAAATATAAACAAAAACAGTTATATTATCTCGTTTCATGAAACCTGGGCTGAAACATTCTCGTGTAGTCAGAGTAATTCACAAAATATTATCTTCATTCCAACATTTGATAATCTTCTTCTGGTGACTTAATTATTCTGGCAGACTTCGGGTCAGATTGCATCTGTACTGCTTACCAAAGTCACAAAAGACATTATGTTTCTAGTAGGTGGGGCAATTATTTTAAATGTTGCAAAGCACCTTCTTTGCTCAAAATTGTTCAACAGGTTCTAGCCGTATCATCGTGAAATGCTTCCCTGGAGAGAGCGTTCAGTGTTACGCAAAGCATATGGAAGGAGAGGAATGGTCTGAAAGTTGATATGGTAAAAACCGAACATCTAGTGCATTTAAACTACAATATCGAATGCACTTAATCTGACGGTAGGAAAGAGTTCACCAGCGTTGAAGACGGAGAGGAAGTGGAAATTGAAAATGTGATATTGGAGTGGCGTAGTAGCGTTCGGCAAACCTGCTGCTTAAGGTCAGAATTCAGGTATCGTTACACAACTTTTACTTTTAGCCGTGTAGTTTTTGTTTATAAATTGTTATAATTTATCATGATATCACACAGTTATGTCCTCTAATTAAAGCCTCTTCTTACATTCTCATTGGAGTTTCACTGGAACTTGTACATATTGTGAATACAGAACTGATTTTTAGCTTAAACACAAATGAAAACTCAAATAATGGTCTTTATGCCAAGTCGCTAGAGTAATTTTAAATGCTTGAGAATTACCAATGAATCTGATCCTAATATTTTTAAAATGGGGGAAAATCATCCTGATTTCGAAGAGAGGAAGGCTACCCAAAATGTAACACGAGTTATGCAAGGATTTAAGAGGGGGAGAAGAAAAAATGTCCAGTTCTGGCTTAAGTAACAACTGGAAATCCTCTCCAAGATCGTATGTCAGAAACGATCTGTCTTTATTATCATATATTGCTTATATCTATTATTTATGACCAAACTACCAATGACCTTAAACCGATATGTCAGTTAGAGCGCCAAACACGAGGCGAGAAAAACAGCTGACAAAAAATGCAGATCCATCAGGAGCTCTACAGTTCTCTTTTAGACGTCGGCCATTTTTTTTTCAGTTTCTTAATCCTATACACAGTTAGTAGGACAGAACAAAACAAACAGAAAATAAACGTACACAGACATCCCTGCCCCTAGTGCAATTCGAACCCACGATCTCAGCGTTCGAGAGAGTGAAGACAGTTCATGCCTCAGACCACGCGTCCACTGTGATCGACAAAATGCATATCTACATGATCGAAAAACAAGGCAACGCTTTAACTGAAGTTGCGGTCTGAAGTGGCCGGTAATGGCCTATAATTTCCTAATTATTTTTGCAGATTTTAAAAGAAAAAATTGATCTCGATTCGACTTTGTCTTCAGCAATGACAGGATTGAGGTGTATAAAGAATGAACTTAAGAAGTTATTAACCTATTTCCTTCATTAAAAAAAAGGAGACTTATGAGAGCACATTGGTTGTCTGTGTCCGTATGTCTGTGTACTTGTGTATCCCTCCCCCTCCCCCAACCCTTGGAAGCCGGAATAATGCAGTCAGAGAATCGCTGGGAAAATGTTTATGACTATACAGTGACTTGGTAATTAGTTCTTCCAGCTACTGGGTTCCCGAGCTCTACGACTACGACTGGTTCTGAATTCAGTCCCTTCAAGTTCAGTACGTTGGTGTTGGTCCTCACCAGCACATTCGTTTTGGTTCCGTGTCTCGCTAGACTCATGACCACAACTCTCACAACTCCCAACTCACAGCCGTGAGCAGAGAGTTGTCCTCTTTGTATAGTTTCCTGTCGGACCGCAGAGAAAACACAAACTCCAAGAGTACTGTGTGTCTGTACGTGCATACCCCTTATCGTTACTAGGCAATAGCTAGGTAAACACGTTCCCGCGTATACAAACGCATCAGTAGAAGAATAATTTTATTATTTTTGGACGCGTAGTTTTCTATGCTGTCGTCGTAACAAATCAAAATAGATTATTGTACTATTAAATTGTTGCTGGGCGATGGCAGGCGACAATTTATCCCACTGACGGACAAGTTTTTAACATAAATTCTTGTTTACTTTCCGCTCTGCCTAATATCATAAAAACGGAAGTGATGCTATTGGCACACAAATACATCGGTAATTTTCCGTATCCCCCCCAACCCCACCTAAACTTCATAGACGTCGTTAAGAAAAGAACCTTGTATGTATGATAATCCTGCTCCTGCTTTGCGCAGAGTGGGGATACGAGGTTTGCGCGGATCTTTCCATTTCGTTGCTACCAATGCGAAGGAGCGGGTTGGAATTTACTGACCGCGGTAGAACAGTGAGTTAGGTGGTGATGGTCGAAACTACTGGCTAAGAAGATTAATTTTTAACCAAGTAAGTGTATTTAAATGGTTTGTTCTAATTGTAGGATGAATAACATATCCTTGCAATGAGCGGCGAATATGAGTCAGTGGGATTGATCGAGCTGCTCCGGGCGTAAATAATTCATGCGCACTCTACAAAAATAGTCTGATATTACTTCCAGATTAAACCAGTAACATAAGATACTGTTGCTGTAGCGAGTTCCGAATTTGTACGCACAACTTCTTGCCTGAAAATATTTCAACATTCGTAAGTCCTGGAGTTATTCGCTCCTTGCGTCTCCTCTTGGCTGTGTAACTCGATGGTTGCAACAACTACAGATGTAACGATCATGTATAAATATTACCGTCAACACAACAGTACTTTATTATTTATTTATATAAATAAACTACATGTTACGACTTCAAATGGGTCATCTTCAGGTGCCGCAAATTTCTCACATACTATTACTGAACTGCAACGCTAACATTCTCATTTTCATAAATGGTTCGTACAAGTTAGTTTCTGTTCAATTTCCAAACTATACGAAGCTTAGACTAGACAATATAGCATGAATTAAAAATAGTACAAAAGTAAGTGTATGAGTGATTGAATGACTCAAATTCTGTGTATATAATTACGCAAAATATATTACGGTTAATTAGATGATAGAACGATGTCAAATATTATAACATATAAAGTATATAGTAATTCGGTCGAAGACCTGAACAGAAGAAATCAATTTCGAGAAATGAATGTAGATGTGATTATAATTTTAAACTGGTGAAAAAGCGATGAAAAACTTAAAGTGGATATGAGAGAAACTGGTACAGGCATATAGCTTGACTTTGTGGGTATGGCAAACAACATTCGGTTTATTTAATTGTGGAAATTTTCCGACTTTCTTCTGTGATTCTTCAACCTTTATATAAATACTCTGAGCCATGGAGCTGTTCTTCTTATTAAAGCTAATATCCCGTTTATTTGCTTGAGCGAATACTATTTTTTTTATTGCTAGTTGCGTGGGACTAAGTCCCTTGTAATACGGCCACTTCTGGTCTATTGTACCAGCCCCAGATGATAGGTGAGGGTGATCGTGGAGCAATTTGTGGAATGAAGATTGGTAGGAGAAACCGAAGAACTCGGAGACAACCTGCCCCAGGGCCACTTTATTCACCAAAAATCCCACTTGACCAGACCCGGGATCGAACCTGGGCAAGACAGCGACTAACCGCTTGAGCTATGGCGCGGCCTTTTGAGCCAGTATTAATCCAGATATTCACATTGGGTCTAATCTTTGCCCAAAGCTCTTTCAGCCATTTTTAGGAATGTAAGCAACCCTGCAGAACACCTCTTAATTTCCTTCCGTCAGTTATTCCGTCCGTACGCATGAAAAAACTCGAGAACAGCTGGACAGACGGTCACGAAAATATTGAAGAATACTATGGAAGCTTGTTGCGGTACCTCGGTTTTCATTTAACTGATATATTTGGAGACAACTTGACATGAAAGTCTACATATGTTCCTGCGCATAGCCCGAAAGTAACTGGGTAAATATTTATGGACACCAAAGTTTTATAACAAACCTTGTACAAAAACATAAAATATGCAGTTGTGACGGTTTTGACCCACAAATCCCGTGACAGAGATATGAAACAGCCCCTTTAATTCTCCCTCCTCCTCCCTTCTCCCCCTCCCCCTGAGTCTTTCAAAACATACACACAGGAACTTACTCACACTACACAACTAAGATCCCGATACCTCCGAAACGTCGTAACCCTACCCACATTTACACATCGTAAACGCCCAAGAATTGAATTAACATCATTTATTCTATCGTCTGCTTTTATAGGGTCACAGGTTGTCTACCGAGATCCTATTCCCAAATCCAATTTCTGTTCCTTGTTTCTCTACTGCCTCTTCTGATAAAAAAAAAGCATTAGGATTGTGACAACAATGGGATTGTTCGTGGAATAAAAGGGGAAACCCGGTCTTCTGTAGTTGCTACGATACGGGGGAAAGCCGAAATTACCTTCTGCCGTTTCTAGTTTCGTTACAAACTCAGCGGCTCGTCCCTCTGCGGGCGACGGTTAATCGTTTTCGGCACCCATCCTGATTCTGGGTTCGTTCCTTCATCTTTCCTGAAGCTGACTTCCGGTCCCTACGCAATTTCTTTCCTCTGCATCACTACCGCAGAACCCCAAAATTCGTCTGTCTCTCCGTTCCACCTTGTTTCTTTCAAACAAGGTGTCGCACAAATGTGGTACAGATACAAGTACAAGATTTTCGCAATAGAGAAACATCATCAGATCGAGATACACGTATGCCAGACGCAGTAATTAAATATTGCCGTCGAAACTACTGGCTAAGGAGATTAAATTTCTACCAAGATAAGTTGGTTTAAGTGGTTTACTCGAGTTAAAGACGATGAAACGTATTTTAGAAGGCGAAAAGAAATTGATCGTAGGAAATGATAATGCGACTTGCGATGAATTAATTAAAAATGAAACACAAGAGTCTACGGAATTGATTTTGGTCTTACTTCAAAGGCTCTTTATAAGCAACTTTTTGTTTGAGGGGTGGGAAGACAGCATTCAGACATAACTAGACACAGACGATGTTGAAACCGTTGTTTCTGAAGATGAGCTGCAACATTTTCTGTGTTTTATCAACAGTTAAGTCTCGGTATTTATGGTCAGAGCACCACATTTCCGCACGCAGAGCCGATTCTTAATTTATTTTAACAACTGCCCGTATCAAATCCATCTGGTGAAAAATCGTTCAGCATCCATAAAAGAGTAAAGCATTACTTATGCTCTATCAGAAGCATCTGACGACTTCAGAAATTTTAAGAGTATTTTCATAATAGTATAGGCTTAATTTTCATGCGTTTTTTTCTTGAAAGAAGTTACATTTTCCAACAAGGAAAGTTTTCTTTCTCTGTCTATATATGTACGTATATAAACAATTAAGAAATATGCTTTAAAATACGGTATTAAACAAAAAAGGTGACTTATGTTACTGAGTTCATTTATATACATTTAGCATTGCCGTATTTTCGGGCATAGTCACGTTTATTTAGGTAAAGAATACCCCCCCCCCCCAGAAGGTGTGTGGCTAGGACACCGTTGACCACAAGTCCGTCACTGGTATGAAACAACATATAGCTTAATATGTAGTAGATGCACATTATTTTGTTGTTATTTTGGCCGTATGTATAACAGTAGGCCAACCAATAATTCAGGTCTTGTAGTTAATAGAAATATCACTGTAGTTTATCGTTTTTCTGAGTAGCCTAAAAAGTAGTTTCGTAAACCGAGAAGTAAGCCTATAGTAAGCAAAGCACCGTCGATCTTCCTATAGACTTGCGTCTGTATTTCCTTTCGTTCTCGAATATGTGCACTGCTGAGAGGATCTCATTGCATATTTCATGGATGAAAGATCCTTAGTGTTCATGAAAGTCAATTCCTTCGTTGTGTTAAAGGAGGTATGTATGAAACGTTTTGCATCACACTTGTATTGAAAAGTTTCTGTGTTTACAGTCAACATAACCTGCTACTACACTTTACTGTTTTGCATTTCAGAAGACTTCAACGTCTATGGATATGCTGACATTAATTTGCGCCGTTGTGGCCCTGGTCATCTTCCTGGTACTTTGGATCCTGTTCATCGTGTTCCCTTATGACTACAGTTGGATTCTCAGAAGAAGTGATACGGAGAAAATTGAGCTGATACCTGGGCCAAAAACTGTACCTTTCTTTGGGAACATATTGAAATTTAACGTTCCAGGGGATCGTACGTACACATTTCGTGTATTAGTCCTCTGTAAAAAGGAAGAAATTAAATTCGTGTCCAAACCCCCATTAATGTTATTCATTGTGAAGGAAACTCCAAAATATTTTAAAACAAATGTACTGCGTCGTTGAGAGCTGAAGTGACAGGAGTTTGGAGAAAACTGCATAATGAGGAGCTTCATAACTTGTACTATTCTCCAAGTATAATTAGAATGATCAAGTCGAGGAGGATGAGGTGGGCAGGGCATGTAGCACGAATGGGGGAGACTAAGAACGCGTATAGGATATTGGTGGGAAAGCCAGAAGGAAAGACACCACTGGGAAGACTAAGGCGTAGGTGGGTGGACAATATTAAAATGTATATCTTAGAGAGACAGCATGGATGATAAGTATTGGATTGATCTGGCTCGGGATAGGGATCAGAGGATGGCTCTTGTGAATACGGAAATGAACCTTCGGATTCCGTAAAATGTTGGGAAATTCTTGAGTAGCTGCAGAATTGGCGGCTCCTCCAGAAGGACTAAGCACCATGAGTAAGTAAGTCCTGCGACGTTTGGTTTTCAAGAAACACGTCACCATCAAATGGCGCAAGCTATCAAATAATCTAATTAAGGGCGCCTTGTAGTTTGCAATAAGTGTTTGATTCGGCCTCCGTTCAATTCAAGCCTGAAGGTAATGAGCCACACACAATTTCCTACAACACGTCTTAACGTGTTGGCAACGACCTTTGCCACAGCTGCTTGAGGTCTTGCCACGAGAGCTTCTCCATAGTCCTAGGAGGGACTGCATAAACGTGCTCCTTCAGTGACCTCTGCAAGAAAAGTATCCGTCAGATTTAGGCCTTGCGACTAAGGAGACCATGCAATCGGCCCTCAACCTCCAGTTCACCTTCCCAGATATGTCGCGTTCAACCACCGTCGGACATCTTTCCCATACTGAGCTGGAGCTTATAGTGTTGAAACCTCATTCTCTACTTCACAATTCGAGACGTATCTTCAAGCAGCAGCGGTAGAACAGTTTCCGAAAAATCACTGTGTCGTTTATCAGTCTGCCCATCAGGTATCAGAGGACAGTAGTCTGGAATCAGATGTGACTGTTATGAACACTGAACACACACTCGCTCGTAAAACATACGTTGTCCGTTCACAGAGTATTGTATGAAAAGGTCATCCATAGTGTGTTGATGTAGTAGCCAGCAGCAAATTTAATTCATAGAGGACGATTGTCTGGTATCAGATTTGTCTCTCGCGAGTAGCTGTGTATGCATAATTGTGCATCAAGAAGTATCTCGAGGGCTTTCATTTCGGATAGTTCAAATTCTAACGCGATATTGCCTGAGATTCTCCACAGCTTTTGTTTCACAGACGAAAATATGGCAAATTCATTGGCTGATGCCATTGTTGCTTTTAAATTTATGGGTGCCATAGATGTTACACTTCCTGTCTCATGGAGACCTTGCTCCAACCATCGAATCACATTAGCGTCTGGATGACGTCGATTAGGAAAACGTAGAGCGTATTTCCTTTCAGCAATATCAGTTCGACTACGACAGTTAACCGAGGGTGAAGAGCATGTTAAGTATTCGTCGTATGTGTTCCGTGATTATAAGATCAAGATTGATTCCTGCTGTACACTGCTGCTTGTCTTCGTATCTTCGTGATAAAGTAACACTGTCGAGAATTATGTCATTCCCCTTGACAGTGACGTGTATTCATAAAACTAAGCGTCTCAGGTCATATGTTATATTTGAGTCATAACATTTAGAGCTTATGTGCGAATTTCGTTTCGTGCTGTATATGCTACGCACACGCTCACACACTCGCTCACACTCGACACACATTCATACTCACACAAGGAACATAACGCTTGCTCGGCGACAGTTGCAAATAGTTCCAGGGAACGCCGATATCGGCACCACTAGTAAGTTTGTATGTTGGCTGACAGCTTAGTGTGATAACAGATGGTGCGGCAAATTGTAGTAAATTTATTAAATTGAGTTGATGAAAACTACTATAGCCTATAAATATAATATGTTGACAGGGATACGTGAAAAAGGATTGGAAACGCAGAAATTCGACAAGAGACTTGCTGTTTTCTTTTGAAGGTCATTTCCACTAACATTTTATAAAATAATTATTTGTTTCATAAGTCATTTAACTCTTTCAGTGTCTAGACTACGTAGCGTCTGAAATAGCAACTAATTTCGAAGCCATGTTTATGTCAACAGACACCAGCCAACCGAGCTGGATAATCTAATGGCAAGCATACTGGGATGCTAGGTTCGAACTTTTAACCGGAATACTGGTGTCCCAAATGGCGTTCTATACGATTTTCCCAAGTCCCTCAACGTAAATGCTGCGATAGTACCGTGAGTACACCACGATTACTTGTTTCCAAATCCATTTCAATTGATCTACCCTCCTGCCATTCAATGCTATACGGTCTACCTACAGGCGGTGTCCATAAATAAATCAAAATGAAAACATAATCGGAACACAGGTCTGTGCATCTAACAGTTCTCAAGTTTTAATAAAATCATAATAAATGGAGTTTTATTCTTTTATTCCCGAATTCCGCCTTGCAGTGTAAATCGAGATATGATTCCAAGACTGAATGCTCATGTATTAGTATTTTTCATTTATTAAAAATTGCACAGTATCTACAACAATTTTGGTTCCAATTATGTCTCTATTAGAAATTTGTGTTTTTATGGAATCAGATAAAACACTTCATGACTTCATATGATTTCACAATACATTTCGTTATACAACTAGCGCCTGCTTTTAATTAGCAACAAGAGCATGTGCAAAGTGTTTGCTGTTTTGAAGACATAGAATCATTAATTGGAAAACGAACCTAATTTAATGATGATCTTTCAACAATAACATAATAACTATAATAATGTGGTATACGTTTCAGAGATAATTAATGTAATTGTTCAACTACATAAGGAATATTCGCCAGTATTTCGCATCTGGATTTTGGGATTCCCCGAGGTGTTTATTACAGATCCAGATGATATTGAAGTAAGTAAGAAAATAGTATTTATTTATATTATTAAGTTAATGTTTTCAATTCTTACGAAAAATATATATCCAGATGATATTGAAGTAAGTAAGGAAATAGTATTTGTTTATATTATTAAATTAATGTTTTCAATTCTGATGAAAAATATCAATTTTCAGAAGCATTAAAATTTATATGCACAAAAAAGATGTTAATGGCACAAGATTTGTGCGCATACTGCTTCTAATTTGCATTTATTAGCTCTTCTCTATATAGCTGTTGGCACAATTAAGATAAATAAAGCTAAGAATGTAATCATTACCCAAAATACAGAATTATGACGATTCAATAACAATATAAGAAGATCCGAAAAACCAAACAGTATGCAGTGTAAGTAACGCTCTAGTCTTGTACTCGGGAAGTTCCCAGTCTGATTCTCGGCTGGAGGACCGGCTATACGGACTGAAGTTCTCCGTGGTTTTCGTATGTCCCCCCAAGCAAATAAAGTTTTTTTTATTGCTAGTGGGATGGGACTAAGTCCCTTGTACTGCGGCCATTTCTGGCCTATTGTACCTGCCACAGATGATAGGTGAGGGTGATTGTGGAGCAATTGGTGGAATGAAGATTGGCAGGGGAAACCGAAGTACTCGGAGAAAACCTGCCCCAGCGCCACTTCGTCCACCACAAATCCCACTTGACAAGACTCAGGATCGAACCCGGGCCGCCGCGGTGAGAAGCCAGCGACTAACCGCTTGAGCTATGGCGTGGACCATACCGCGACCATATCCTTCTGAATCTTTTCCAATTAGCCACACACCCTATCATAGTCTGCAGAGTCTTCAATAAAATGTTTTTAAATAACACACCAAAGCACAAACCCAGAACGCTCTCTTTTAATGTTCATTGCAGTTTTTATTTTTTTTCCCTTCCAACAATTTACGTTCCCTCCTTTGTATCGTCTTTACCACTATCATAAAAGTTGAATCTCTTTATAGAAGTTGGATTTGAAGTTCTCGGGATCAGTAACTGTGAATAGTAGTTGTTTTCTGGGACGTAACGTCGTGTAGTGTGGTAGATGTTATACGACGTTTCTGAGTAATGTAGCGTCTCCATTTACAAGGCCGAAGAGTAAGCCAAGCAGGAATTCAGCAATAAGCAAACGGCATCCCTGCTTCAAAGCATGGGTGGATTTTAACCGGACTAAAATAGGTTACGACCCAGAAGCTAGAACTCCTCTTATTTTAGTTAATATAACATTACTAAATAGCGTGTAATTATATATTTTATAAATCCATTCCTTGCAGACGATACTCAGCAGCAGATCCCACATCAAAAAGAGTGTGGATTACTTACTTTTAGACCCGTGGCTAGGGGAAGGCTTACTCACCAGCTCAGGTTCGTAAACACACAGCGATCCCCGCTGTGAAGCTGATTAGTCTTAGATCCCAGTGACTTTAGTTTTATCTGTGTTCTTCCCGTCATTTGTCATAGGTTAAAATTATTTATAGAATGGATCAAGAAAATCTAAATGGGAATAATTGTAAGACGGATTGGCGAAAATAAAAAATGAATACCTGATAATAATAAATTATCAATATATTATAGGTAGTAAATGGCAGGAACACCGCAAGATCCTTACACCAACATTCCATTTCAAGATTCTTGAGGAGTATGTTCAGGTGTTCAACTCAAATAGCCAGGTTCTGGTGCAGAAACTTCAAGAATGTGTCGGACAGCCCTTCGTGGATATCAACTCACTTATCACAATGTGTACACTGGATATAATCTGCGGTAAGATATACCTTCTACATACAGTGTCCATCTGTTCGTCCGTCCGTCTCGGCCTGTTTTCCAAAATGGAGATAAGTAGAAAAATATGATAGAGATTAAGAGTGTTCCTCTTGGAGAAACAGCAACAGAGAAACGTTCATTTCGTTACAAATGAACTACTCATTGCGTTGTATACACCGTTCCACAGATTCCTGTGAGATTCAATGTGGGTGTCTTTAAACAAAATTTGTTGGAGAATTTTTATTTTCAGCCACCCTGATCCACAAGAGCCTAGTCGACATAGAGTCACGGACGAACTTTTCAGTGTCTCCCATAAACCGTTCCATACATTCAGTAATTCAATATGGATGACTTACGCCGAACATTGACAGGGAATTCAGACTTTCGGTTATATCGATTCATAAGAAAGCCTGATTCATATAAGAGCATAAACTGAACTATTGGCGTGTCTAACAAATCTTTCCACGGATATTTAAAATTCGATATTGGAGAATTCACTGATTTCAATGTCATTATTCCTGTTTGTAAGTGACCTTAATATACTTCAAATAACTCTTTGGTGATTGCACGCGCTATTTTGTGAGGTCCGTTTTTTCAATTTTTTTATGTTGCAGAAACAGCAATGGGCATATCTGTCCACGCCCAGAGAGGTGGACAAGTGGAATACATTAAAGCTGTGAAAAGGTACGGAGAATGCACAATATTTTTTCCTTCAGAGTTTGATATTTTCAGTTGCGATACCATGTGGTATTTGGCTTGTAATACTATACAGTTTCACGACCCTGAGAACCGCAAAAACACCACCCCTCTACTCCGTGAAATCCAGAACATATGTAACACTAATTCTAGAGATCTTTGTAAATACTAGCCTCAAACATTTCCTCTCTTGTTTGCTTAAAAAGATTTTTATGTCTACCAGGAATTAAGTAAATGATTTTCCTAGGGAGTGAAGCGCGGCCGGCGCGTAAGGCTGACAACCTCACCGCCATCTTTGAACCGATTGTCAAGGTAATGTGGGACTCTCAACGTCTCACAACCCTATGGGCCTTCACGGCCTGGTACAGGGATAGCTTTACTTTTACATTACTATTAGGACATTGATAATGTGCATGCACTTGCGTGTTCGTATGTTGCCATTGTCTTGCTCATAGGTTTATAACTAAACACATCACAAATATCACACTGCTTAACAACAGAATAATACCACTGTTCTTAAGCTTGCGTGAAAATTCTGCGCAACAATTTCAGAGGTGTTTCCTAGAGCATATTCAGTCCGGACAGTCATATGTTATTTATTGAAATGCATTTCAATGTTATCCTCTCACATACGCCCAGATCTCCCATGATGTCTCTCCTCTTAAAAAAAACAATCGATTAAAGTGTGTATGCATTAGTCATCTTACCCAAGAGCGATACAGGAATTACCATCCAATCCTTCATTTGTTCATCCTGGTAATATTTGGTGGAGTACAGACTATGAACCTCCACGTCATGTAACATTCTCCATCCTCCTATTACTTCCTCTTAAGGCGCGTCCACATTACTCGTGCTCGCCAGGCTTATGCTCGTCTGGCTTTTACTTGTGCTCGTAAATCTTCATCCACACTAATTCAGTTGCTTGCCAGGCTTCGGCGCGTGAGGATCCGTATATTTACTCGTAGTGTGTATAGGCTGTAGTCGTATTTTAATTTATTGGCTATAGTTTTTAAATTAAAAATTTAAAATTTGCTTGTCTCGTGACTTGTCATATTGTCCACATTACTCGCGGGCATATCGATTCACACGAGAACAAGCATGAGCACGAGTAATGTGGACGCGCCTTTAGATTCAAATATTTTCTGTGCCCTGTCTTCAGATAACTTCATTTTGTTCTCTCCTTTAGGAAGAAAGACCGCACAGAAACACAAATAAAATTATAGTACTGTATACTTCAATCGTTTTTCTCCTAGGAAATGGGAAGACAGAATGTTCTGCAATGCCCTTTCAAACGTTACTCTTGGTTAGGTTTAACATGCTTAAGGAAGTAACATCACAGAGGCTGTGTGGCCTCCTCCTTATTGCCATGAAACAAGGCTGCATAACATCCGCAACGTAGCATGTCATACTGCTATGAATATTGTGACATGTAAATCAATTGCTAGGTAACGCCCGCAAAGCACATACGGTCGAACACGCAACAATGGAACAACGGGGTTATGCAACCCGCTTCTAGGCATTGGCTTCGTAAACACACTTCCGCGTAGGCAGTGACGTCACACAACAGCGAATAGCAACCACGTGACATATACTCAGAAGATGCAGAAATTCAATGGTATAATCATTTTCCAATATGAGCCACAGCAGAGATAGAGAAAATTATGTAATCATATTCACAACAAATTGAGCGTGAGGGATACTTGCACTTATATTTACATTACATTGCATTCCATAGATCCATAGCTGTAGGTATCTGCATAGTATTCATGAGAACTGTGCCATTTCATAAATTCGAACTATGTAAACTTGGTAGAATTTTGCAAGCTTTGTTGTTTTGTGTCCTTTTCAGTCCTATGTGTACATCTGCACAACAAACTATTGGCAGTCCCTAACCAGGGGAGAAATAGACTGGTTCCATTAAAATGTCACTGCGAAATTGTTCTGACTATAGACAGTTTATTTATCTATAAGATGACTATGATTTTAATGTATTTTAATTTTTCAATTCTTTTGTGCTGCAGAATTTCGGAGTTATTTATACATCGGCAGATGTCTCCATGGCTGCACAGACGTTTCATTTTCAAACTCACCCCTTCTGGTCTAGAGCAGGCCCGAGTGCTCAAAACTCTACATGGCTTCACTGAAAAAGTACGTTATTGCTATTTTTCTCAGGGGTCTGTTAAAATAAGTTTTGGCATGCATTTTCTGTAGGGTTGAGGTGATTCTTTGGAGTAATTAAGCAACCACTAAAGGTCTAACATTTCAGTAATAATAAGTTCAGCTTCCTTACTTACATATTGCAATGTTTATTTTTACTATTCCATTCCTACTTATCCTCTGTCTAACCGATCTTCTGTGCCACATGCAAGACTTGTGGGTCAGTGCATATAACAAGAGCATTGGTAAGCTTGTACTCATAGTCATCAACATATGCCTCTTTTGGGCAATTAGAAATAGTGTACTTTTATAATCTCAATGAAACTGCTGAAGTAGAGTTGAAGCAAATAGTGAAGGTTAAGTTGTTCCTGTGCTTAGGTGATTAAGCACTATGATGAAGACATATAGGAAAGTGGATGTATAGATCCACGTTATCTTGACCTCGGCACTAGTTGGAGGTGAGTAGTGCCCCAGTCAATCAAATGGACAGTACTCTAAATACGTATTGTAAGTAAATGTTTCATCAGAACATAATCCTTGAACTATTAAACATTCAACTATTTGGAGACTTGTATTTCCACTTTTCAGTTATCACTCCATGTTAGGATGGAATGAATGGTTTGGTAATGTTCCATAGAACCTGGCACTTCACACCTTGAAGGTGGAGAATAACCTAATTTCCTTGATAATGATAAAAGATTACTTGAAGATGGAACACTTCAAATTGATTTCTGGACTTGAAAATATGTACAGACCAACAACATTTCTTTTCATAATTGGCCTTCTTTAGGATCATGGCCTACTTTCTCAAGAAAGGTTCACTGGAATAATGGAAAACATGTGGACAAATTAACTCTCAACAGCTTGTTTTATTACCTCAAGAATTGAAATGCTTAATTTTATCTTTAGTTGAAAATGACCAGCAAATTATGTAATAGTTATCAATCCTGCCTTCTAAGTTCTAGGCCTTGGATTTAGTACTCAACTTTGCTATTCTTAAAGAACATTCACTGGTTCTTTAATGCATCTAGTCACAATTCAGAATAGCACCTTAAATACATTTTGATTATTACCCCTACAAAAATGTAAGCTACTCCATTTTCTAGGACTGCTGTCTTCTGGGATGTGGCACCATTTAGATCTTGTGTGAATTGATGTTTCAGAGGAACATATCACCTCCAGTCATGAAATCCAACATATTAGATGGTTTATAAATAACTGAATCAAAACATTATGTAGAATACAGAGTATGGCAAATGACCTTCATGCTTTAAAAGCTGATTTTAAATAACTTACTTTAACTACACTAATTAAAATGTTTGTCCATCTACAAGTAACATCTCAAAAACTGCCCAATGGATTTTCAAGGAATTTGATATTGGAGAATATATTAAAATTTGTTAACATATTCCAGTTTTCTTTAAAATAGATAACTACAACAGAAACTTTACTAGCAAAGCATTTTTCAAAGCAAAAAAAATATTTCCAAAAATGTATATACAGAAATTAAACACATTCTATGCCCAACAGTCCTATACAGTTTTTGAGATAATTAAGCAACAGGGACTGACTGGAGCAGAATTGCTACCTATGTACTTATAGCCTAGCTTGTTTCATATAATGCAAATATATGGACATTCTTTTAACTGAAAGTGAGGTGATGAGAGATGTTAATATAACTAATTTAATGTTTAGGTTATTTTTTGTGAAAAAGCTATTACAGAATTGTCACCTTGGCCACACCAGAATACTAGCATCTCCCTTCAGGGGGGAAGGGGGTGGGGTGGAAGAGAAAACACTGTAGGGGTACATATGACTTTGTTGCTGTGCAGGTAATATGGGAGAGAAGAGCTGAACATAGAGCGAGCACACAGAGTGATCTCAGAACAGTTTCAGCTGAACAGACAGGTAATGTGCAAAATTATGTTTTTGAGTAGTGAATAATGAGATGTCAAACTGGTATGTGGAACTATTTGTCATCTAATCTTTTTAGTATTGGTCGTTAAATTCTAAGAAACTTCAGAGATCACCGTAAATCCATTTTAGCTTGGAATTTTTAGAGTTTTGTAGTCCTGGTCATGGATATTTTAATTCGAGTTATGAGAACAACTAGAAGTACTTTCAAATTAAAACTGGCTTATAAGAATAATTAGTGGTGCAAGAAGACATGTCATGTGAGCAACTTTTTAAGAATATAAATATACTTCTAGTAGTTTGCATGTATATATCTGAAGTGATATACGAGTACCACATAAAACTACATAGATAGAAACTGGTACAAAATACAGCAATTCATAATCATAACACTTGCATAAAGTTGAACCTCCATGTTCAGTTTTGTAGAATAAATCTTTCAAGAAAGGCGTAATGAGTATGAGAATTCAATGTACAATAAATTACCAAATAACATAGGGAAATGGAAGAAATGAATTTCAAAGACAGCTGAGATCCTATTACAACATACATTTTACTCTGTAGATCAATATGTCATCCTAGTTAGCAGAATATAATATCTGAGTTGGTCTGTTCTTATGAATAGTATCTGTATTGTGTGGCAGTATGAATGAACTAAGTTGTAATATTTCAGTTAATTTTAGACATGTATGTAAGACATATTCTATGTCTAAAACTTGACCAAAGATGAACAAAATGGAACTCAGCTGAACTGAAGTTTCCTTACCAGCATAAATGACAGCTTTAAGTAGAAACTGGCAAGAAGACTAGTCAGTTTTGCGCCCAAACCTCCCAGGTGCTATAGTTACCAAAGGGACACTTAAGATAAGGAAATAATCATGCTACTTGAGTTTATGCTGTTCTGGTGGGATATGAGGTCATGTAATTTTTTAGCCAAGTACCACCGTTTTGGAGGAACTTGCTGCCTTCAACTTCAGTACTTCTGCTCTAAAATTTGAGACAGAAGATTCCTCCAGAATGCTAAGCACCAAAGTACACGGCCTCATATCCCAGAAGAACATGATCTCAATATTCAATGCTGTGAGAACATCAAATTTTGTATATATGTTGCTTTAATTGCAAGTAACTTAATTTATATTTATAAACAGTTTTGAAATAAAATGTCTGTGAACACAAACAAAATACCATGTTACTATTCTTGAAGAGCATAAAAATTTACTAAAATAAAAAGGAAAGTGAGAATGGTTGTTGAAAATGATGTAAATTGTTCTAATTAAGAACCAAGAATGAAACAGAAATGGTAATTTTACTTACAATGACCACAGATGCAACAGCTGCTACACAAGTGATGAAAATTGTAATGCCAATCATACGCAAATGTCCTACTTTATGACCTTTACCAGAACATCACAGTACACATCTGGGTAACTGAAAGTCATGTATTGATAATCATTAATAAATGTTACACTTCCTGCAATACAACTGTTTCCTCACGTGTGTTCACAGGTAAGAAAAAGCATATGAATTTCCTTGACCTGCTGATAGATGTCTCAGAGGAAGAAGGACTGTTGACAGATACTGACATTAGAGAACAAGTGGACACATTCATGTTTGAGGTGAAGATATTGAGAATTAATGTAATTATACCGCCACTGCTTACCATCAAATTGGTATAATAAACTGGAAGCTCAATAAAAATGGACAAAAAATGATCCTACATAGGTTATAGCTGGTGGCAATTCCAAGACAGTTATCATCCTCTTGTACTATAGGCAATGTTAGAGGGTAAAGTTGTTTATAAGCAATTAAGACAGATAGGCGAACTGAGGTATAGCTTTATGTTCTTAATCTTGGCACTAGCTGGAAGTGTGTGGCCAGCTTCATGGTCCAACCTCTTTATCCCTAGAGAAAAAGTCCCCTATACCCATTTGACAGGTGGGTTTATGCTCCCAAGACATGGTCTTCACACTGTGGATGAGAGAAAAAATCTTGCTCCAGCTGAGAATTAAGCCATGATTCTTTGGCCGCCTAGCTGGTAGCCTGTCACTACATATAATGTGCAATTCTGGCCCCCACTCTGTTACCCTAATATGATAGTTATAATGAGGACTAAGGATCTATACATGACAAATCCTAGAAAAGGAGAGATTGCATCCATGAAGTGCCTTATAAACCGTTCTTCATAGCCATGATTTTCACTAACATTACAAATGTAAGTAATATTCTCAGAGACATGTCCGGATTCATTTTTACAGTTATGTACCCAATGTATACATTTTTTCATGTATACAGTTTTTCATGAAGCAATTGTAACAACTCACTTAGCGCTGACAGCAGATAACCCAAGAGAGTTATGATGGGTTCAACATAGAGCTAAGATGGGAAAAGAGAATATGAGAACAGCGTTCTGCTGTAGAAACCCCTTACAAAGTGGGCATTTGGAAGGATGAGTTAAAGATATGAAGACAACATAAAAATGGTTCCTAGGAAAATAAATTCAGAGAATATGAACCACTTCAAACTTGTTCATAATTGAGTCAAATCCTTGAGCCTTCGAGAACTGGTTACAAGATAGTTCAGTTTAAATAGTCAATAAATTGCTTACATAAATATCAATATCGTATTTCATATATATTTAAAATGCCAGCATATATACTCTCTTATTTATGTCATTTTAACAATCGTGATTTGTGGAAACATTGTTAAATCACAGTAAATAAACTTGTGGTCTTCATGTATGATATAACATTAGGCTGAAAGATGAATGCAGCGATTCCCCATTTACGTCACTGAAACATGTTTTAGGAACACTTCCCTTACGTAAATCACAGACTTCCTCAATTTTTATGGCATGTGATTGCAAAGCAGAACAGTTTTGTCCTATTAAGTTTTCATATTAAGTGTACATGCAATACACAGAAGAATTGACTTGTATAACTGAAGAAGTTTTAACATTCATGTCTTCAGTAATATCTGAGGTATACACTTGCAAAGAGAAGATATTTTATTCTATGATATTTAAAATTTAAAGCATCAGTATCATTGTTTAAAACAGAAACATGTATTTCAACTTATTATTTTTCTCTCGTGTGAACTGTTACTTACATGAATATCAATAAGGCTCTTTGAAATTATGCTTCGTTGGCTCTTTTCAGGGTCATGATACTACATCTGCAGCCATATCCTGGGCTCTTTTCACACTTGGTTCATATCCTGATGTTCAGGTAACACTAAAACTGGACCATATCTTCATATTTTTTTAAGTTTCTTGAGTTTGAGTTAGACTGAGACCTCTAGGTACATTGGCCACTATTTGGCCTACTGTACCAGCACTGGATGATAAATGAACATGGAGAACTTGGTGGAATGAGAATTGGCAGAGGAAAGCGATGTACAGTATGTGCCAAAAGATTCAGTACTGAAATTCGTGCATGTGCGTTTGTCAATCGGGCGTAGCTCCAGCCGCACATGTTCCCAGTAGTGAAAAGGAAGTTGTATTGTGCAGTTGTTGGAAATGGGTCTCTCAACGGAGGAAAAACTATTCATAGGTGAGTATTATTTCTGCTAATATGGAAGTGGTCGCCAGGCAACTCACTTCCTTGGTTTGAGCGGCCAGATGTTATCGTCCAGAAACCGCTACATAGTACACGTGTGACGCTATGGTGTGCCGTCTCAGCACACAGTATATTAGGCCCCTATTTCATTGAGAATGAGGAAGGCAATGCTCTTACTGTCACCCAAGAAGCTACAGGGACATGGTGATCAGATCATTTATTCAGGATTTGAGAAGGTTCTGTCATGCAAGGGGCCTTCACATGAATAGACAGTGGTATCAACAGGACGTCTTTTCATTTCAGTACTGTATTTTTGGCGCATACTGTACTTGGAGAAAACCTTCCCCAGTGCCACTTTGTCCAAAACAAACCCCACATGATGTGACCTGGGATCAAACCAAAGCCACCATGGTGGGAAGTCAGCGACTAAACGCCTGAACTATGGCACTGCATATCTTCACATTTCATCTAGGATATTATTAATGGCACGTTCCTGTGGCAGTGACAATCATTGGAACTGAAGATTCAGATTTAATGAATGTTTGTCTATGTCCTTGAAACATTAAGATGAGCAAATGTCCCTTTAAAGAGGTCCTGTTGTGTCTTCTAAATATTACTGTTTCAGAAAAGTTTTAAATATGATACAGTTCTTAATACTAGGGATGGAAATGACTCTTCAGAATTAGGAAAATGCTCCTGACTAGCATAAAAGCCTAGGGAATGGCCAACATATGGCATAAAGAAAATTACAGTGCAGGTTTTGGAATTTGTTCCTGCATGTTTTGTCACTGGATAAACTATCTGTAACATCTTAGGACACTGTACATAGTTCTGTTAGAGGAAGTGGGGCGCTATGGTAAATGGCATCAACCCTCATATTCAGCCCTGGTAATACTTGAACGAAGAAAAGTTGCAGTGATAATGGCGGTGGTGTTGGCAGTAGCGATATGTTATTAGTAAACACTTTATTAATCATAAATAAACAGTATTTGACTTCTTTACAGGAAAAGGTAATGAATGAACTGAAAGAGATTTTTGGGGATTCTGACAGAGAGGCAACATATGATGATCTCCAAAAGATGAAATACATGGAACAAGTCATCAAAGAAACACTGAGACTCTATCCCAGTGTTCCAGGATTCAGCAGGAAACTTGACATGAATGTGCAAATAAGTGAGTCACCTCCACTTATTCACTACTTTATTATTTTAGTGTGTTAGAAACGAAAGAAATCTCTGCATTATATTGCTCTGAACAATTTAGCTCTCCAGCTACATTCTGTACACCCCCAAGATTATCATTTACTGCGTGAAAAAAAACGACTCTCTTAAGGTGAAAGGTAGAAACATAATGCCCATAGTGAATTAAGCAGCACATTGTGCAGATCAATGGGAGAGTGCAGGTAATGCTCCATACATTTCAATCTGGGCTTCTCACTGGAGTTGCTGGCTTCATGCCCTGCCTGCTTTCCCCCAGGGGGAAAGACCACCCAATTCTCACTGGAGAGAAGGCTGGACAAGCCACAGAGCATGTCTGGATGCTGTGAAGAAAAGAAAAATCTGTTGCTCTGCCAGGAATCGAACCATGATTCCCCAACCACAGCATAAAAAGTACATGTTAATTTCTTAAATTCTGAGAGGAAAGGATATCTTGATAACATATGGAAGGAGGGACTTAGAACACCCACAAATGTGGTGGACAGACCAACCGAAGACTACAAGAAGTCACAGCTTAATCCCTGAATGCTGATGATGATATCTAGTAGAATACAATTTTCAAAGATGTAAAGCTTTGTAGTGTCAAGGAGTAGGCCATGCAAGAAACCAGCATTAAGCAGAATGCAAGAGGAACCTGCTTATAGCTGCTTTCTTGATTCACTTATTCTTTGACCCTGAAGAAAAAGGCCTGTAGAACTCTACCAAACTAGACAACATAACAGCACACAATATTGTAATTTTCACAGTCCTCACTGTGAGACTCTCAAATCCAACATATTATCTAGACATATCTATTAACAGAATTATTAACTGGTACTTCATTAACAAACAGTTAGCAGTTCCATCAGGATTGTTGAAGGTATTTGGAAATGACTGTAACAAATCAAAATTACATTCATGAAGAAATTAAGTTGAGATCAGGCTCTGGGAATGGTTGCTACAGTTCAATTGATAAATTTTTGTTTTCCCACTTCTTCTCTAAAAATATAAAGATTAAAAAATGAAAAACTATAATTTTATATGTTGAACTGTATGCATTTGAAACTTGGTCTCTCAGACTAGGGGAAGAACACACACTGAGGCTTTTGGGAACAGGGTTCTGAGAACAATACTGGGACCCATGGAAGGAAGTAACATGAAGATTAGAATTATGTAATGAGAGAGCTTCACAGTTTATATTCATTACCAAACATTATTATGGTATCGAATAAAAGGAGACAACATACAGAGGCCACATAGCATGTGTAATATACACATTTCTTTAGCAACTGTGAGTGGAAGAGGCAACTTGGAAGACCCAGGTAGACTGAAGGATAAAATTACAGTCAGGTTTGAGGAAACAGAATGAGGTTGTGGACTGGACTCATCTGAGTGAAGATGCCAGACCAGTGGGGGGGCTCCTGTGAACACTGAAATAAACTTTTGGGTTCCATAAATTGCAGGATATTTGCTGGCTACTAAGGGGCTATTAGCTTATCAAGATGAACAGTACTCCATGGAAGAAGGTGAGATACAAGAATCCTCAATACTGAGACACAATGTACAAGTGTTATGAATGTGTTACCTTAATGTTACACTGGTTTGCAAATTTGAAATTTGCTACAATCAATCCATTACACATCTAAGCCTACAATATTCTCTAGGAGGCCCCTCTAGAATTTAATATAATTTCTGAGGACAGTAAGCCTAACTGGCAGAATCTTACCAATAAAAATGCTGCCAATGTTATGAACTAATTTTATCTCAAAATATATTTTCCTCATACCTTTGGACAGTATTATCAAAACCTTGGCCCTGTGAAACTCTTCTGACCGCTAATGGAACTCCAAACAAAAATTTGGAATCCCAAATACAAAAAAGGGCCAAAGATGAGGGAGGTTTCCACAAGGAAATTAACAGTAAAACACGTTCTTAGGAAAAATGTTTCTGCTTCTGTCACCATAATGCCACCTAACACTGGCAGTAATAACAAAAAGTCTGTAGTCTCACAGTATCTGCAACATTTGTATATGCTAAGAAATCATTGCATCATTCCATGTTTCAGCTAAAAGCATTTTCTTCACAACATAATTTCTGGGTTTGTAATTTTAATTACAGATTCAACAAACGTAATGATCAATGCTTTACTTTTATAACATTGATATTCATGGACAGTTCATAACAATAGTAAAATGTATCCAGAAAACCATACAGTTCAGATGAACCAGTTGAAGTCAATGCCTTAGGACAGAAGCTAGGAGTTATTTGATCTTGTACTAAGCTTCATCTGGGTTATTTCAGAGAACTACACTATCCCTGCTGGGACATGCGTTCCTATTATTCCATATGTGATACATCGAAACCCAAAGGTATTTCCCAATCCAGAAGAATTCAACCCTGACCACTTCTTGCCTGGACGAATTCAGGGTCGACATCCATTTGCTTATATTCCATTCAGTGCTGGACCCAGGAATTGCATTGGTAAGACATGATTTAATGTAAAATAGTTTACAAATGCAGAAACGTTCCCATGTGAGGGAGCATAAGGAAGCGGTTAGTTTTGATAAAAGAACTGGTATAACTAAAACGATACTGAATGGATGGCTGGATGGGAATTGGGTTGGTCTTCTGTCAAATAAAAACTGACTATTGTTCTGTTTACCCAATCATTTTTATGAGAAAATGTTAAGTCAGTGGGATTGCTGAATGGCATCACTGGCCACTGTATAAGTGACTCAGAAATATCATTCTATTGCATGTCAGTTATATTCTAACTTTAGAAGCTGTGCTAGGGATTAAATTCCGAACTTTCTGATTTTAATCACCTGACCACCTTCAGCTTCAAATTTGTCACCCTATAATATAAAGGAATGTGCAAGGCAACATATGCATGCTGAAACTGAAACTCTTTTAAGATGAAGTGAAGCCAACAAATGAACTGTGTTACTAAACAGGACTTTGAACACCTCCATCCCACACACAGTTTGTTAAAATATTTTCCATCCCCCATACACGCACACATACACAAACACAAGCTCAGTTTCTCAACTTTTTGTAGGCTGGAGAGCACTTTAAGTATTCATTACTTTAGAAACATTTAACACATATTTATGAAATTTCACTAATTGTACACAGACCTGTATATATAAATCAAATTTAATATAAAAATGTCACAAGCACAGAAAGCTGAGGCAGCAAGGAATGCTATTCCAAAGGAAATACGTACATAGGTAATATTTTGGAAGTAATAAAGAATTTTCTAATACACATCTACTTGTTTAAAAAAGTGTTTATATTGGTCTGGCAAAGCTTCAGTGTATTGATAGCCAGGACATACTTAAATTATTACAAGAAGCATACATTTCTTGATATACTCTGAAATTGTGGTACTACTTGCTTACACTAATGCCACATGCATACCAGTCATAGTTGCTAGACCATCAGCACAAACTGAAACATATTCTGTCATTCAGATCTTTGCCGATGAAATGGCTTTCCACAGACATGTCACAGTATATTGAATGCACATAAGTTTAATTACCGATATCTGTTGATTCAGCCAATTAAAAGAAAAACATTTTTGATTTCTTTAATAACACCTGATGATGAAGATATTCATTCAGCGTGATAAGTTTTGCAACCATACCATTTGAAAGAGGAATTTGTCTAATTTTCTTGGCAGCCTTCACCCAAAATCTTCCTGTGTACATCCACTAAACAAGGCATAATTTACAAAGAGCTACTCATCAACTACAAATCATAACTTACAACTTTTCAAGGTAAATGCCAAATTAAATAAAAAAATGCAATACATGATGAAATGACTGAACAATTTCAGAACTCTTAACTACCTTGGCTGTGGCACATACAGCTATGACAAATATCTTGAACAGAAGCTGTGTGTGGAACAATACAAAGAACACTAAAAAGTAAAACTGGAAAAGAAAAACAGCTTAAATTTGATAAGGTAATAGCAGCTCCTATTAATATGTATAGAAGTGAAAACAGAGCTCTGAATATATCTGAAAGGATGTAAACTGAAACACCAGACATGCACTTTTTGAGGTGTCACTGGATATACATTTACACACCAATATGACAAACAAAATGGATTACAAACATATGCTTTCACATAGGAATTATGCAAAAAATGTATGTGGAATTTCACAATTTGTATTCACAAATCCTATTGGGCTTGTCAATTCCATGCACATGAGACATGGCAGGTAAAACACTCACTGGAAGGCAGAGGGAGACATTCATAGACAAGAAGTCAATACTAAATTGGATATCAAGGAAAAGAAAAGAAATAGAGTGAAGCATATGGGCTGAATCCACATGACTCAGTTCAAGGTNCACACTCTTCATTATATGTATAAGACATTTATCTTAGCCAATAGTAATGTTATAGTCAGCAATCACATAGGAATTATGCAAAAAATGTATGTGGAATTTCACAATTTGTATTCACAAATCCTATTGGGCTTGTCAATTCCATGCACATGAGACATGGCAGGTAAAACACTCACTGGAAGGCAGAGGGAGACATTCATAGACAAGAAGTCAATACTAAATTGGATATCAAGGAAAAGAAAAGAAATAGAGTGAAGCATATGGGCTTAAGCCACATGACTCAGTTCAAGGTCATGTGGAGGCTCCTGCAAACACAATATGAATATTTCATGTTCCACGAATAGCAGGACATTTCTTGATCAACCAATTGACTATCAGCTTCTCAGTAAGAATTTCTATTTCATGGGATTAGGTTTTGAGGTGTGGCATGTACGATGCCTTGTTTAGGAGAGTTTTGATGTATTTAAATTTCTGAAATATTCGTCTATATCATTAAGCTCACATCATTCTTATAAGTAACGGATGGAAAAGATGGTAGCTGGAAATGGTCATAACAGAAATATGACACTAATATTTATTCATTTGTGCAATAAAAATTTTTGCAGAAAAATTAAGTTTAAAAAGCTTCACAGTAACATGCAATTTTCAGGTCAGCGCTTTGCTCTACTTGAAGAGAAGGCTGTCTTGTCCACTGTATTGAGAAAATTCAAGTTGGAGTCCCTGGACAGAAGGGAAGACATTGACTTGATGTTTCAGCTAATACTAAAACCAAAACATGGGCTCAGGATTAAGATTACACCAAGATAAACAAATGTAAGTAATGGAATGCTAGTATTATATACTTTCATACATAAAACATGTGCCAGAGGCTGAAACAGGGAATGTCATTGCTAGTTAGTGATGTTTATCATTTCATCATTAAAAAGTTACTAGATTCTATTTTGAACCTACTTCTTATATTCACATGCCAGTGGAAATTTCAAACATACTGACTTATGTACTTTTTCACCAAAGGGCAGTAGGTAAAAGTAAAAAGTAAAGCTATCCCTGTAACAGGCCATGAAGGCCCATAGGGTTGTGAGACGTTAAGGGTCCCACACTATCTAGACAATCAGCTCAGAGATGGCGGTAAGGTTGTCAGCCTTACGCGCTGCCCGCGCTCTACTCTCCAGGAAAATTATTTATTTAATTCCTGGTACTCATTTCTTTTAGAGGCTGAGTGAACCCCAGGGCCATAGTGCTGCTGGAAGGATTAGGTCAACTGAAAAAATCCAATGACCTCATCAGTATTTGAACCCGCAACCTTCCAACTTTAGCATAGTGCCTTAACCACTACGCTACCTCGTGCTTATCATTTCATCATTAAAAAGTTACTAGATTCTATTTTGAACCTACTTCTTATATTCACATGCCAGTGGAAATTTCAAACATACTGAGTTATGTACTTTTTCACCAAAGGGCAGTAGGTATGTGTGGATAATGTACTTGTGTGTACTAGACAAAAGTTACCATCAATGAAAGTATTATGCTATATAAAAGGTCATTTGCCAAAACACTATTACAGTAGAGCTTAAAGAAATAGGATGTGATGTGGACTGAAATCATTAGCTCAGGATAAGGTCCAGTAGCAGGCTGTTGTCAACAAGGCCAACGCAAGCCTAAAATGCCATCCCAGGCAAAAAGAAAATTTTCAGCTCCCACTTCAGGTAAACATAGATCAAATTTTTCAAAACTTGGCAAAAATTAGTAACAGGGAATTTCCATGTCATCAATGGTGTCATTTATATTATATATATAGTATTATATTATATTTATATTTTTTCACAACATGTTTAAATTACTGCCAATCATCAGAAATCATCATTCAACAAAAAATGGAAGAAAAAAAAAGGCAGTTTATAAAAGTACTGCCCCTAAAATCATACCACCCCAGGCAGCTAAATGGTTGACCTGTACTAGAGCACAGGCCCTGCTTCTGAAGACTGCAATGAACCTTCAAGTTACATAAAAGATGGGGAATTTCTTGATTCTTTGAGTGACTATTAGCTTCTTGATCACATGAGATGAGCAAGGGTTTCCATTACAAATAACAGCATAGAAATGCCTGCCTTGCCTAAAGAGATAAAAGCTTGTAAAGTGTCTTTTTATAAGACATCTTAAGCTGTCAATTTTTCCTAGATGAATGAGTAGCAAGCTCCACTGGGTGCAACAAGTTTAATACAAAATAAAACCTTTACGTATTTTGGTCAGTACTGCCCACCATCAGAAGGCAAATACCATCACTACAAAGAAATATCTTACATGTATGATAAACATAGGTTGTCATAAAGGGATTTTTACAATTAAGGGTAAACTAAAACATCAATGCAATTAAAATACATTTGTGTTGTTTAAAGTATAACAGTATCTGTCCAAATATAAGGTTTCTTTAATGTATGGACTTAAGTCACTGAATTTTCTACATAACTTGGCACTTCACACCCTTGTGTTTTATCTTCCTTCTCTGTACAAGGTCCATATGAAAAGTATCGGGAAAAGTTCCGGGAAAATAGATTTATTTCAGATATTGCTACAATGCCTCAAAATTCTTCAAAATACATCCCTTGTGCATCGATACACTTTTGCCAACGGCGTTGCCACGACATGAAGGTTCCCTGGTAGGCAGATTCCGGAAGGTCCTTAAGGGTCCACATGCAAGCCTCTTTGACGGCACTCGGGGTCCCATGATGGTGCATTTTGAGGGAGGATTTCACTTTCAGGAACAGGAAAAAGTCTGCTGGTGCCAAGTTGGGACTGTAGGGGGGTTGGGGTACCGTTACGATGCCGTTTTTTGTCAGGTAGTCGGTCACCTTGGAGCAGGTGTGACTGCATCGCCAAATCTTCAGTGATAATGGTGTGCACCGTCATCTTATCAATGCCAACACGATCTGCAATCATGCGCACACTTAACAGACGGTCTGAATTGAGTACGTTACGCACACGTTGCACGTTGTTGTCGGTTCTTGACGTTGACAGCCATCCACCGCGGGGCTCATCCTCCACACTCTGTCAGCCACTTTTGAAGAGCTTGTGCCACTTAAAAACTGCAGTTTGTGACATGCTTTCATCCTTAAACAGTTGGCGAATCATGCCCAATGTCTCCGTACCCGATTTCCCCAGTCCAACACAAAACTTGATGGCGTACCTCTGTTCAATCGTTCACTTCATTCTGCGCTTGTACCGACTCACTCGACAGGGGTCCACTGAAAACACGGCCTGGCCTCTATGAACGCGCTCAGGCGAATGGCGCGTGTTAAAGGTTAGACCCCCACTACCACGCCTGCGCAGTGCGAGCGTGCTGCGGTGTACAGTCATGTAAGGGAAAGATTTTTCCCGATACTTTTTATATGGACCTTCTTGGCCAATCCAGGATAAATAACAATTCTAAGTTGTGCAATATTTTATTTCTTATGGTTACTTGGAATAACATTTTCAGTGTTTATCTCTTGTTCTTGTTCTTGGGTAGTCAAGGTTGATTGATGTAATGAAATATGCATATTTGAAGACAAGGTTTGTTGTGTTGTGAAGACATAGTATAATGTGGTTCCTTGTTGGCTGAAGATGTGGTAGAATGTGTCTTTGAAGGAAAGGAACTGGTGTGCTCATGTAGTGTGAAGTGCCCTTGCAGGTAATGTTCTGTATAAATATATAGTTTTGGTTTGAAATGTAGTGTATGATAGGAAATAAAAAAGCACAAATGGATGAAATCTTGCATTATGTTACTGTGTTTACAAAATATTGTTTACTTTTTCAACTTTTTGGGGGGCATCTAGATTGAAATCGAGAAAGAAAGCGGCAGTTTTGACACATACATAATTCCAAAAAAAGTTATCGCAAAGAAAGCGCAGATGTAAAAATACATAAAAAATGGTGGGAATATATTAAATGTTCTTTCTGATATACAATTGACCTTGACAGTGTTATCCTGGAAACAAAACAGATTGTTCTTTGGTAGACCACTGCTGGTTGCTGAATACTGAACAAAAATAAAATCTGTTTGACTGGCCAAGCTAGTTTCAACAAACCAAACATTTCACATTTGGGTCCCTAGTGCAAGTACTCCTATTTTCATGAAGATACCATATATGAAGTTTCGTTTAGAGAGGTGGTCTCCATAAATGACTGAAATTTAATTACACTCATCAGAGCCATTTTCAAGAAAATCGCCATTTTGTATTTTAGGTTTTTGGAGCTGGAAGCTTCATATTTGTTAGGCATTAATCTAAGATGGATAAGATCTTTAATACCTAAAATATATCCATCCATTCAAGCACTAGTAACTCTATCTCTCTCCCTCTCGTGCACATAGATAGCACACCAAAAACCACTTTTCATTTCTGAAGAGTTCAAAATGTATGAACATCTGAGGGCAGCTCACATGCTACTTAACAACAAATACGGGTGTTAGAATATGTTTCAAATTAAAGCTACAGATATTCAAGATATTTATATTGTGTCATATTTCATTTATCATAAACTTGTTTTTATAAAATTCAAAAGTATCTTGAAACTGATGTTCAGTAGGGGTGACCCAAGTTAAAATGTGTTTAAATGAAATGTATAATAAAGTCTGTATATGTAAATATTTGTCTGATAAATTTCCTATCCAGAACGGTTTAACACAAGGAGATGCTTTATCGCCACTCCTTTTCAACTTTGCTGTAGAATATGCCATTAGGAAGGTCCAGGGAAACCAGGTGGGACAGAAATAAACGGGACACATCAGCTGTTGGTCTATGCTGATGATGTGAATCTACTTGGTGATGTAGATACCATAAAGTAGAACAAAGAAACTTTAATTGCTGCAAGCAAAGAGGTTGGTCTAGAAGTAAACATTGAACAAACTAAG